AGGACATGCCGTCCTTTCGTTTTTATAGGCACTATTCCTTTTTCTCCGAACTTCCTCAAGTGTTACATCACTCTTTCCTAGTCTAATTTTTTTTCCCTTCCTTTTTACTAGTGGTACGGGTACTAGATGTACCTAAAGGCAAAGATTGGTGGAAAACCCAGAGTTGGATGGTGGGGACCACAGAGATAACCAGATCATTTGTGTGTGTGCAGCAGAGCTGTGGCTGAGCCTCCAGTGCCCCTCACACTGAAACGTGGAGACCCATGGTTCAGGAGGTTGACTGTTGAGGACCAGTTGTGTTTGATAGAGAAACGCCCCAGCCAGCTGTCACAGAAGATCCAGCTGCAGCTCTAAATCTCCTCTCTTTCCTGGAGTCGTGGCAGACTTTGGGAAGAATTTTCTTGAGCCAGGATGGAGAAGCAAGAAAAACTGACCTAGATATTAGATTGAAGGGCTTCATTTAACTCCTGCTCAGGCTCCGGTGGGTAGGTAAAGCTGAGATAATGACCATTGATTTCCCCCTTTCCAGAAAAAAAAATGAATCTTCTGCTAACTGCACAGTAGGAGAGTTTGCCTAGACTTTTATTTAGGCGGTAGGTGCTATGACAGGCTCTCACAGCAACCCAGGCTGCATTGAGTCTCACCATGTAGCCCACGCTGCTCTAAAACTCACGACAATCCTCCTGCCTCACACCATGTAGCCCACGCTCTGAAACTCCTGACAATCCTCCTGCCTCACCACGTAGCCCACGCTGCTCTAAAACTCCTGACAATCTTCCTGCCTCATCCTTTGAAGCGTTGGGATTACAGGCATGTGCCATCACAGCTGGCTCACATTTTCCTTCTTGAGATATTACTGAAACACTTGCTGTCTTAATGCTTTATAGCCTGTCCTACAGACATCTGTTGCTGTGTGCTGCTGTGCAGGTTGATGGAGGCCACAGCCTAGCAGGAGAATACATCAGGATAAAGACATCTGAGGGGGAATGATGCTGTACTAGAGATGTTCTTATAACGATGCAGGGAATGGAGGCCAGGAGCTCTGGAGTCCACCTGGAGGGGTGAAAGGTCTTCACAGAGAGGCAGCGTCTACCGTGATTCATAGAAGAGTGGAGTTAGCAGCAGAGGGAAGGACGCTGAGAACGTGCAGTAAGAGTATTGCACCCACCCCGGCCTCAGGTGTAGACTGTCCATTCCTCTGTATCTGTGGCCTCCCAACTCCGATGCTGCTCAGCCTTGGCCCTGCCCCAGAACCATCCATAGTACACGGCACCATCCCCATCCTCCACTAAGGGAGTCCATATCTCTGGAGGTCTCTTAGGGGTAGAGAATACTTCCTTCTCCCTTTATTCCTTGTCCCTGTAATCTCTGGCCTGTTCTTCCCCCAGCTCTTCACCCTCTCCTGTCATTGCCCTTCCTTGGACTCCAGAGGCCACTCCCTTCTGTGTTTATTTCCTTCTGTCCCCTCTCCTCATGTATGTACCCCTTGTCAAGGGAGGGCCCACTGTGCCCGGCTGCCGGGGCCCCTTTCTCTCCTCTCCTCACCTGGACTGGACTTAGCCTGCAGTTCTATATTGTCACTGTTCCCATCTCTGCTGACTTCTGCTCTTATAGCTGCTAATGCAAGAACACGTGACTGAGAGCAAGAACACATGACTAAGCCCCGCGGCTTCCTAGACCCCACCCTTCCCACCAGCTAGTATCCATTCCCACTTTGTTCTTCCTGACCCTTCTTCCTGGTCACTTTCTCCCCACCTGTATCCGTTGCTTTGGAGCTGAGAGGGTGGAAGTCAGTGTCCTGTTAGGTCACCAGCTCCACATCCCTAAATGTGGGCGCTGATGCGTGACTGATTATCAATATGATCTGGTCAGGGGGGGATGTGATGAGAACTGGAGCTCCCTGGAAAACAGCAAGACTTTAAGGAAATGTTCTCAACCCTCTTGCTCTCTCTGTTCCCTCCACTGTCCTGGTGTAATGACCTATGGGATTATCTGAATACCCACCTATAATACAGCCCTCGTAGACACAGCGTCTTTGTTCCTTTGTCGCCTGCGCATTCTCCATGTGTCTACAATAAGGATTGTTTCTATTACTTGGAACTTGGAGACAGAGGAGTGGGGGGAGTGCAGGGGTATTGTTATGCACGATGGTAACTCTCAGCGGGCTCCCATCAGAAGTCTCTCAGTCCGTCAGGCGATGCTATTGGACCCATTTTCCAGAGAAGGAAACTGGAGTAGTTAGACTCAGCTAGTAAGAAGCCTGGGTAGATGGTTAGCATTTGCATCACTAACTTGGGATCTGTGTCCTTGACCTCATCGCTAGCCTCTCACTTCAGGGACCTCCTTTCTGTAACCTGGTGCTTTCCAGGACATTGCTAACCTTAAGCTATTTCATGAAAAGGTCTACCTGATGTGCTGACTCCCGGAAGTAATCCCTTACCTCCAGGGATTAGCATGAGCACTTCCTTCTAAGGCCAGCCCTTCTCTTTTGCCTGTGGGTAGGTTGGGGTCAGCAAGGCTTTGAAGAACTGGAAAAGGAAGCATGTTCTCAGACATCTTCTGAGTTCTGGGTACTGAAACTTAGGGCTTCAGGTGGCCACAAAACTAAAGTGAATTGTACTTGCCGAGGATTGTAAATACAGTTAGCTGTTTCTTCCTGACTGAAGGTCAGTTTGCTGTCTTCTGTCTCAGACATCCAGCCTGAGTTTGGGACCACACACAGTACCTTTGTACTGACTGCATAGTTAAAGCAGCAATATTAAAATATGCTAATTATTTCTTCCTGGTTGGCCAATAGAGCCAGGACCCATGTCATCTCAATGAAAGCCTCATGTCCTGTTTTTCTCCCCTGTTTGCCCATCTTGCTGCAAGGCATACTCTCCTCTCCTTGAACCCTTTGAAAGTTCCTTTAATCTTTCTTCTTGTCGTTGCTTGGCTCCTTGTCTGGGAAAGCATCCCTAACCTTAGCACCTCACCAAGGGTGAGGTCATTTTCCAGTTCTCCGGTAACAAATGATACCATTCCTTAATATCTAAGAGATGCCCGGTTATATTCCCCCAGTGGTGTATAAACACACCACTAAAGGCGATGTGTCTGACGTAGTTTGTACTAGACAGGCCTATTCTGAACCTTGCCATGATACATAAGCACTCTGCCACTGAGGACAGCCCCATCTGAGCTACCAAATATTAAAGTCCCTGGAAATTATGATGGCGTTCTTTCTACGAAACATGTATGGTTATAAGTGAAGCAGACAAGAACATTGTCAGGAGACGACCCCTAACATCATAAAATAGCCTCACAGAAACTTCTGCTATGCCTCCTGGGAAACTAGCTGGCGTCCACTTTCTCATGTTACTGTAAATGCCCCAGGGTAGAAAAGTAACTTTCCACGCTGTAGTTGTCTGGGGGAAGACTCTATGTAGGTCCAGAGTGTGACCTGCTTATCTCAAGTGCTGCCATTTGAATGGGGCTCAGAAATGTATGTTTTCAATAAAATCGTAGTAATAGCCTATTATTTAAGAAATGTAAATATTAATTGACAGAATATTGTTTAAAAAAAAGCACTTTAATTTTTAAAACTAGATACAGGGGCTGAATATTGGAACGCTGGGCATTCAGCGATCTTTATAAATAGCTTTTAAGGAGACGGCCCAAGGTCTAACCACTGGGAACGATAGCCCTTCACTGTCTCCTGGGCCCCGTGGGCCTCTGTTACTAATAAAGATGCTGTCTGCAGTGAATGGAAGCCCAAACTTCTAGAAGCTCTGAGCAGTTCTCTCTAAAATGGGTAGCCCAGTGCATTTTGATAATACAGAGATGCCTCTGAGTTCCCCACCATGGGAAATTCTTGTTCTTTTCCTCTGTGGGAATCCTTGTTATTCCAGGAGAAGGGGAGTGAACAGCCAGAGTACAATTTCAAGACGGAAGAAGCTGTGCTTGGTCCCTGTGCTGCTGCTGCGGAGACCACAGGTCTCTCTGGAGGGCCAAGAATCAGATAAGCTGGGAGCTGTTGCTCACAGGCAGAAGCCTGAACCTTAGGGATCCTTGCAGATGAATTCCATTCACTTTTAGCCCCAGAAGCTTCTCTTTCTTTCTTTCTAGCAGGAGGCATAGAAATAAGTCTCTGATGGTACAGAGAGTGTTTGAGATAAATTCGACTGTCGGGTCATCTGCTAGGTGTCTTTTGCCAAGGGCTCATGATGACATAAACAGCTGAGCCTGCCTGCTAATTCAGGGGAATACACTCAGACTCCTTGGGGGCTCCAGCACGTTGTCTGTAGCCCAGGGCTGCATCTCTAGTTTGTGTGTGTGTGTGTGTGTGTGTGTGTGTGTGTGTGTGTGTGTGTACTTGTGTACCACTTTGTGTTCTTGAGAAATGAAGCTATTTATTTGAATTTTTTTTTCAAATATTGACAGTAAGCACAGATCAGAGATGTTCACAAAGGCATTAGCAGATACTGATGGAGGTTTGGTTTTCCAGGCATTCAGAATATAATCTCAGAACGTGACTGAGGGGAATTTATCTTGAACACATGGGACATCACTGAACAGTGACCTTTTGGGCTAAGAATGCTGCAGCTCAGAGGGAATGTCGCGCAGTTTTATTGTTAATGATGTTGAAAGCTAAGACATGGTGTTGCTGTTTGGAAAGGGGTCGATTTTCGAAGCTGTGAAGATTAAAGACTGTCGGCCAGAAGAAAATGCTCATGCCTGAATGTATAAAGACTTTTTTTTTTTGCACTAAGTAAAATATAGACCCTACGACTTCTTAACATCACTGTAAATTAGCTTTTGGGTTTCCACAATAAAACCTTTCTTTGCTCGTGTTTAACATATGAATAAATTATGACATGAAATGGGTCATTTCTATAAGAAGGTTTCATGTGAGAGAAATGTTTGTTCTTACAATCCTGTTTAGAAGTGGCCACTCACATTGTGTACTAAGTTGCTTGGTCATGACCTGCGCCTTACAACCAATTTCCTCTTTGTTCCCACAGCTGACTCAGGTGTTAACACCTTGGCAGTGTTTATGGCCAGCAGTGGAACCACTGACGTTGCAAACCGGAACAGCCCAGCCACACCACCAAATACCCTTAACCTCCGGTCCTCCCACAATGAACTGTTAAATGCTGAAATCAAGCACTCAGATGCCAAGAACAGCACCCCCCCCAAATGCAGGAAGAAGTATGCACTGACTAACATCCAGGCGGCTATGGGGCTCTCCGATCCAGCTGCACAGCCTCTGCTGGGAAACGGCTCCGCCAACATCAAGCTGGTGAAAAATGGGGAGAACCAGCTCCGCAAGGCTGCAGAACAGGGGCAGCAGGACCCCAACAAAAACATCAGCCCCACAGCGGTCATCAACATAACTTCTGAGAAACTGGAGGTGAAAGATCTCCACCCTCCGGAGTCCTCGGGCTGTGAGATTTTGCCCTCCCAGCCTAGGAGAACTAAGAGCTTCCTCAATTACTATGCAGACCTGGAGACCTCGACCAGAGACCTAGGGCAGAATCTGGGCCCCTGCCAAGGGCTTGGGGAGGAGAAAGCCCAGCCAGGCCCAGGCCAGGCCCCTGTAGTCATTGGGAATGGTGACCCGCTGCTGCAGAAACCGAACAGACCCCAGTCTAGCCCAGAGGATGGCCAAGTAGCTACAGTGTCATCCAGCCCAGAGACCAAGAAGGACCACCCTAAAACAGGGGCCAAAACTGACTGTGCGCTCCACCGGATCCAGAACCTGGCGCCAAGTGACGAGGAATCCAGCTGGACCACCCTGTCCCAAGACAGTGCCTCGCCCAGCTCCCCAGATGACACAGGTACCCCGGGGACCAGGACAGCCCCACCTGGTACTTTTCCACTGGTGTTTTTAACCAGCGGTAGAGTACATCTCTCCCGGCTGAAAGGTGTCAGCTCCCACTAGAGGGACATGTGGGTGAACTCGGGCAGCGTGTGGAAACTATCCTTAGATTTCTCAGGCACATTGTGGGTTCATTTTGGGCCATCCGTAAGTTGTTCTGGTTCACATTTCCATAAAAAAAGTAACCACTGGTTTAAAATATGGCAAATTGTCATCTCTGGTGATTCAGCTGCTGCTGCTGGGTGAACTGCTTTTGGGGTACTGTCTCGAAACATCAGGTTTTGTTAAATAAAATAATAAAAGAAAAGTAGTTGCCAAGGGCAGGCTGCAATTTAATTCAAAGAACCCACTATTTCAAAACTCTCAGAACTTTGCTATACTCAGGCTTACAAAACCTTAAAAATGTCTAGAACGTTTAAAAGTCAGGTCTTGAAAGACATTTTGCCTGCTCAAGTAATATTTGGAAGTGAGAAAAAAAATGATACTCTCAAATGTTTTTGGACATTCATGATTTTAAGCAGTGTTGCTGATTTCGGTCGGCCAGTACTTCTGTCCGCGTCTGTAGCTTTTGTCAGGTGTGGTGGATCGTGGCAGCAATGAAAAGAGTCTTAAGAGTCAGTCACTCTTCCATTTCATGTTCTCAGAGTTCCCACTCAACCAATCAGAAAGCTGTAAGCTCTAGAGCACTCTGTGCTGAATGAATTCAATGTAAATAACATCCACACATGTGGCCCAGCATCTGCAGTAGCAGCTCTGAGTCAGGTAGACCAGATGGCACACCAGGGAGCCAGATGACATTTTCCCAAAGGTAAGGTGGAGAGAGCACAAGGAGTGAAGATTTTATAAAGAAGATGGAAAAAAAAAGGGGGCGGGGGAGAAAGTTAATTGACTTGTTCAAAATAGGAAGGAAAAAGGAGCGAAGAGCCCTGAAACCCTGTTTCTTTCAGTGTTAGGTTTCAGCAGCCTTCTGGGACTGGCTGTGGCAGTAGGAAGCCTGAGTGACTCATTTCGTCTCTTCAGTGTCTTCAGCTGGAGTCATAATTATGTTTAGCAATGTCGTCATGCCCATAGCCCTCTGTGACTTGGGAGCATTCCTGTCCTGTACCTGATGGACAGTTTCACCTGCTAGTGGTTGAATCTTTTCCAGCTGCCCCTTCAGCGTCTGGCCAGACTTAAGACCTTGTGTCTTCTATGGCTGACTCAGCCTTCCTGCTGCTCTTGCAGGCATGATGTGTTCTGGGGCAGTGAAGTTTAAATGATCTGAGGACACTGAGTGAAGAGTGGAGCCTCCGCCCCCACTCTAGCCCCTCTTCCTAGTGATGGCCACCTTTTAAGGAGGGTATTTCTTCTAGAAAACATTTTAGGCCTGTGATGATTTATAATAATTTTTTTTAAATGTATAAAAATTTTGGGACATTATTTTTAGAGATCTTGCTTCGTAGAAGTGTAAACCAATATATGTGATCACATAATGTACATGATACAAAGACCCTCCTCCACAGCCATTGTTCCCTAGCTGTGGACTCAACCAACTGTGGATTGAAAATGTTTGGGGTAAAATTACAGCTGTACTACACATTTGGACTATTTTAGTCATTGTTTCCTAGAATAGTATAATCGCTATTTGTGTAACATACACATTGCATTATTACATGAAACCTTTAATTTTGGTGTTCCTGGGGGTCCTGGAACCAATTTCCCTGAAAACACCGAGAGATAGCGGCATTTAAGAGATACATGAGGCGGGGGCAGGGGGTACCATGATGAGGATTTAAAAATCCCCACAACAATACCCACCAACTACTAGCTGTTAAAACTGGGCTGTTGATACAAAGGCTCATCATTCTGGTCTTAAAATTTTGTTTTTAAAAATTCCATGTAAGATGTTAAAAAAAGAATTCAGTTTAGACTGTTGATGCTTCACTTTTTAAAGAATGTACTTTATATGAGTATTGGAGCAGGAGCTTGGTGGTCACTTGCTTATCATACACAAGGCTCTGGGTTGAAGATCCGGCCTGCTTTTCTATATTAGTCACTTTTTAAAAATTTTTGCACATGAGTATTTATTGTAATACTCTTATTCCCAACATCTAAGTTGGAGAGCTTTAATTCGTTATAGTTTTTGTGTGTGGATTTGTGTGGGTCCATACATTTGTGTGTTTGCGTTTGAAAGCCAGAGGTCAGTGTCCGGTGTTGTCTTCTGCCACTCTCCACTGTTTAGGAAAACAAATTGCTTGTTTACATATTTGTTATTGTTTATGTGCGCACACGGGTATGTGTACCCATGTGCATGCCGAGGAGCGTGCATAGGGCCGAGAGGACAACCGGCAGGGGTCAATTCTCTCCTGCCATGCAGGTCTGGGGATTGAACTCAGATCCTCAGGCCTGACAGCAAGCATCTTTGCTTGCTGAACCATGTTTCTGGTCTTTTAATTTTTATTTGAAACAGGATCTCTTGCTGAACCTGGCCGGTCCCCACATTGGCTAGATCGGCTGTCCAGTGAGCTCCGGGAATCTGCCTGCTCCTCGCCCCAGTGTGCCATTGTACCCAGCTTTGTACGTGGATTATGGGGATCTGAACTTAGATCTTTGTACTCACACAACAAATGCTTTCCCCGCCGAGAGTCTCCCCAGGTCGCACTTCAGTCTCTTCTATCTTATATGCTGTGCTATCGTGGAGAAGCTCAGTAACATATTTTAAAGGTTTCCTCATCCATGAGTGATTAACATAATCTGCCTCTGTGTATTGACTGTGAGTGTCAGTCAAGGAGGGAAACAGAAAGGCTGGAGAGCTGGCTGAGTAGTGATGGTTCCTCCGGAGGACCCAGATTCAGTCCCCAGCACCTAGGTAGAAACTCACAACTGTCTGTAACACCAATTGACCCGATGCCCTTTCCTGGCTGGCCTCCATGGGCACTGCATACACATATGCACAGATATAGATGCAGGCAAAACACCTGTTACATAAAAAATAAAGGTAAATAACATTTTTTAAAGAACTACAACCCAAACTTGAGCTTTCGTTCAAAACGGGCACTTTGGACGCTGCCACCCACTTTGCTTGGCAGGCTCCAGTGTCTGTGGTCTACCCTAATTTTCAGAACCCTAATCTTAAAACTGCCTCAGAGCTGGTTTGTGGGCCCCTCCTGAAACGGGCGCTCTCTCTCTCTTTTCACTGAGAGCTTTCAGGAGTGAGCCTGATACCCTGAAATAAAGAGAGTGACTCTTGGGTGTCTGTGTCAGTCCAGCTGAGCAGCGTTGCTAGTGTTAAAGCCGTCACAGCGCCACTGAATGAAGACTCAGGTGTGTCTCTTGAAAAGGCAAAATTAGTATTTATGGTTTTTCCAGTCTGTTTACCGAAGATGATCGTGATCAGCATGAATACTACCTGCTGAAAGAAAGCAGAAAGGGATAGTGAATATTCCTAAGACATTGGCATGCAGCACTGGGCTCTGTGTAAAAAGTGTGCCTTGGCATGCCAGTTTGTTTTGTATTAAGTAAGCAGGCACCATGTCGGGTGTCTTTTATGACTAAGTCATGAGATAATTGTCATTGGATTTCGAGCTGTGCTTTGGTGAGTCCAGGAAAAGTAGAGCAGACTCTCGTGTACCTTAGGGCATCCTTTCTGAATTAGAGCGTACCACTTATACAATAAAATGCATTACCTAGTCCCGGGACTGACCACTCTGTATTTCCCTTTCTTTCTGAATTGTCCCTTCCAGCTTTGCAGTGACATTTTTGCCCGATCAGTCATGTGTGCAGTATGCTGCTCCCTTCTCCTGTGTCGTTTGTTCTTTGAGAAAACAAGAGGCTGTTTACAAAAAGGAAACCGATCTGTGACAGGGCTTTCAAGGGGCTTTGGGAAAATTACTGTGCCTTGACCTTGGTTTTGAAACAAAGGGTTGCACTGTCTTCACCTTTGAAAGTGAGGACTTTGGATCTAGTTAGAATTCTGTCATAGCTCTGGCGCCCTAGGTGGCTCCAGGTAGACAGGATGACTCAGATAAATACATGCTGCTCAGACCCTGTATCGTCTCTCTGTAAACTTGGTGCCCTATGATGGGGTTCCTCATTTGGACTCTTACACGGACTTGTAATGTAAGATTTATTTGAACCTCGCAGAGCTGGAAGCTATAGAGTATGGCTGTCCATTTCTGTCCCCCTCCAACTCCACTCCCCAACCCCCCATCAAACTGCATGAGCCAAGCAGCTGTCTCTACTGCTGAACTATCCCCACAGCCTGAGATGCAGCTTACATAATAGCTGGTTAATTTAAACTCACTGCTAAGGTGCGCAAAGGCAGGATCCCACACTGAGCTAGCGGGGCCCAGAGAGTATGGCTGCGGTTGCAGTGCCCCATTAGCTTGTAGAGAGCCTGGGCTCCAGAGTCGGCTGAAGAGCCCTGTCCAGGTTGCCATGTGCAAGGCTGTTGTGTGGGGCGACCACGACTTTGGCATAGACTTTCTGTTAAAGCTGAAAAGGGGGCATCCAGAAAGAGGTCGTGGCCTAGTGCGCAGCACAGACGGGGCTTACTAAATAAAAATGCTATTATTAATGATCTTCATTGGTGCAGTGGTGTGATATAAAAGTTATACTTATTTTTCAAGTGTTTGTTCAATTTTTATTTATGTGTATATGTTTCTGTGGAGAGACATGTGTGTGGGGAGGGCAGGGAGGATGCCCATGGAGGCCAGAGCAGGATATTGGATACCCTGGAGTTGTGAGCTGCCTGACATGGATGCTGGAAACTGAACTCTTTCTTGTCATTGGCAAGAGCAACAAACACTCTTAACCACTGGGCTTTAGCCTGCAAAAGTTTACTTTTTAACTATGAACTGCCTGCATATTGAGCTGATTTTAGTTAAGATTTTGTAAGCCTGATGGACAAGGACCACACCCTGGTCTGTACATTGTCAGTACCTGAAATCCAGGCACGCTGGGTAAATAAGTCACGATTAG